ACACGGGACTGGAGGTCTGGGAACTAGGGTTTTATTCCTGGAATGTGACCAGGGCCCTGAAACTCTTGTCCCCTTCCTTCATCCATTTAAAATCAAATCAATGGGCTGGGAATGTAGCTTATCAGTAGACCACTTGCCTAGCACGTGCAAGGCCCTGGGTTCGATCCTCAAAACCACAAAAAAATAAATAAAATAGTAAAATAAAAAACAGTAACAACGCTGCCAGGTTGGGGTGAGGCTCCAACGTGATTCTGCACGCAGGTGTTTTGCAGGTATTAAGTGCCATGCAGCGGGTGCTGATTCTGATCTGTACCTGGCCCAATTTTCCAAATTTGGCCCGGCAAGTCCCTTTTGAGGCCTGGCCATCATCTGCCTTTCTCTCAGATCCTAGGCAAAGGCCTCTCCTGCCTCCTCACCCTGCGCCAGTGTCCTCTTGCACTAACCCTAACCCTCTCCACCCCCCATCTCCTGAGAAGCCTCCCCTGACCAGCCTCCAGGGAACTCTTGCTCCAGTGCTTCCTGTCCTCCACTGAACGTGTCTGGATCTGTTTGCCCAAATGAGGAGTTGCTTCCTGACCTGTCCTCCGTTCCCACCACCCTCCTGCTCCCAGAGTCATTGCCCCAAATCAGTAACTGGTCATCTTCGTCTGCCCCAAGAGCAGTTGGGACAGTGGCCATGCCCCTGGGCTCAGGGGGCCAGAAGGGCAGGGGCAGCTGCTTCCTGTGCATTTAGAGCAACTGCATTGTGACTTTGACAGTGACCTTTGTAAAGCTCAGGTGAACGACGGATGGAAGGATGTTAGGTGGATAAAAGAAACTGAGTGTGTTGGACTGATAGGATGACTCAAGCAATAAAGCACCTGCCTAGCAAGGGCAAGGACCAGAGTTCAAATCCCAATATCACCAAAAGAAAAAAAAAATGAATGTGGTTGACAAGATTGCACAGGGGAATGCTTATGAAGTGACCATGGAGGTGACCTCATCAGTGTTGGCTTCCATACCTCTGCTAAGTCACTGTGATCAGCCAGTGCCTGCTTCACCCCACACCCAGCCCAATTTTTTTTTTTTTTTTTTTGGTGGTACTAGGGTTTGAACTTGGGGCCTTGTGCTTGCCAGGTAGGTGCTCTACCACCTGAGCTAAGCCTCCAGTCCCCAATTTTTAAGATATATATTTAAATCTTTGGTTCACTTCCAAGCTGTTCTGGAGATCTGTGTGAGATACGGATCTAGCTTTGCCTTCTAGATGGCTGTACATTGTGCTGTGCACGCAGTATTTGTTGAAAGGTCCAAGGGCTCAGTGCTACAGCACTTGCCTAGCATAAAAAAAAAAAAAAAAGGGCAGGTGGAAGTGGCAGAGCACCTGCCTAGCAAGCATGAGGTCCTGAGTTCAAATTCCAGTACCTTCAAAAAAAAAAACTGATTTGAGCCAGGGACCAGTGGCTCATACCTGTAATCCTAGCTACTCAGGGGCAGATGAGGAGGATTGTGGTTCAAAGCCAGCCCAGGCAAATAGTTCTCGAAATGCTATCTTGAAAAAAACTCAACACAAAAATACCTCTCAGTTCAAGCCCCGGTAGCACCAAAAACAAATCTCTGTGATTTGGAAGGATGCATTGTGTACACCAAGTTCCGTGTGTCAGGTCCCTTTCTGGGATTTCTGTGGCATTGCTCTGTCCTTCTGCTCCAGGACAGTGCTGTGTAGACGCACTAACTCCTGGGGATTCACAGTATATTTGGAGATGGGATGAAGCCATTTTCTCCTCACGATTCTTCCTTCTCTGCATTTTCCTGCTCTTCTTACTTGTTTATGTTTTCAAGGTAAACTTTGTCTTGTTCCAGAAAAAAAAAACGGTGTTTTTGTTTGGATCATGTTACATTTATGAACTACCTTCAGCAGAACAGACATCCTCCATCGCCATGGCGGTGGTGCTCCCTGTCCAGGAGCGAGCATGTCTTTGGGCTCCATGCCCCTGGGGCCTCAATGTTGTCTTCATGGAGGTTTTGCACATTTCTTGTGATGCTTGTTCCTAGATAATTAATCGGCTATTTGTTCATATTTATTTATTTTGTGCTACTGGGGCTTGAACTGAGTCTTCCATTTTGCTCAGTCTTCCACCTGACCCATGCCTCCAGTCCTGCCTTACTGATATTTAATTTTATTAATTTTATTTATTCATTTATTTATTTATTGGTGGTACTGGGGTTTGAACTCAGGGCCTCACGCTTGCTAGGCAGGCGCTCTACCACTTGAGCCACGCCACCAGACCTCTTGAGCTATTTACCTGAGCTGGCCTCAACTGAGACCCTACTGATTCCTTCCTTAGAGTACCGGGATTACAGGTGTAACACCTGGCTATTTTATTTTTGCTGGTGGGGCTGGGGTTTGAACTCAGGACTTCACAGTTGCAAAGCAGGTGTTCTACTACTTGAACCACACCTCCAGTCCATTTCGCTCTGGTTATTTTGGAAATGGGGGGTCTTCAGAACTCTTTGTTGGTCCCATACAGGCAAAATTGAATGAGTGTCACTTTTAACCGCACAGCTAGGAGAGCTCCAAATAGGCGGCTCCACGGCCTTTGGCCCTCCTTGGACCGAAGCTTGCAGATCAAATTGTGTCAAATGAGCTGATGACAAGCTGAGAGCTTGCCCTTGCAGTGGTCATGAAATTTCATTGAACAAAATTCAAAACCTTTCTTCTAGGAAAGGGTATGAGCCCTTTTGCCAGTGCTTTTGACATGTTCTCACAGTTCTGGTACCTGGGAAGTCCAAAGTCAGGGTGGCAGCAGATTCAGTTCTTGGTGCAGCAGGCTCTCTTCCTAGCCTGAGGACAGTTGCCTTCTTGCTGTGCCCTGACATGGCACAGAGGAACAGCCAGAACAAGGTGGGTGGTGGGAGGAGAGAGAGAGAGAGAGAGAGAGAGAGAGAGAGAGAGAGGATGCACTCTGGTATCTTCCTTTTTTTTTTTTTTGGCGGTACTGGAGTTTAAACTCATGGCCTATACACCTTGAGCCACTCCACTATCCCTTTTTTGTGATGGGTATTTTCAAGATAGAGTCTCATGAACTATTTGCCCAGGGCTGACTTTGAACCGTGATCCTCCTGATCTCTGCCTCCTGAGCAGCTAGGATTACAGGCGTGAACCACCGGTGCCCGGCTTCTTCCTCTTCTTATAAGGGCACCAGTCCCATCACAGGGTCCCCCACCTTCATGACCTCATCTAAACCTAACTACCTCCCAGTGGCCCCACCTCCTAATATAACCCCATTTTACAACACATACGTTTTGGGGAGACAAAAACACAACAGGGTCTATGAACCTGGATTCTTTTCTATTTGCTTTGTGTATTTATCTACTGCTTTTGGTTTGCTTTTTGTTTTTGTTTTACGCTTTTGGGTTTTTTTTGTTTTTTTCTTCATAATGGCTTTGGTTTTTGTTGGACCTGGATTCTTAGACCAAGAGTGCATAGCCTTGAGCCAGTCGCTCAGGGCTTCTGAGCTTTTTCCCCTCAGCATGATGGGGTACAATGTCTGCCTCCTCTGTTTTGGGAAGTGACTAATGTATAAAATATGAAGCTCAATGCCAGAGGTCTAGTCCTTGCTCACTGTGTGTTTTTCTTCCTCTGTCCATCTGTGCCAGAGATGCCGGCTGCCTGCCACCTTTCCCTCTTCCCTTCCACAGCAGGAAAATGCCCAAACTTTTACCTTTACTATAACTACCCACAATAAAGGCCACCTGTCCCAGCCTCTGGCATTAACGTGTGGCCTTGTGGGCCCAATGGAAAGTTCCTCTGGATAGCCCGCCTTCAGGAGCCCTTCTCTCCTTCCCTTCCTCCTCCCTCCTGTTGCTTTTCTACCCATGGGGTCTCCAGACACCTGGCTGCTAGTGCCAGTCACAGCACCCAGGCCTCGCCCCAGCGATGGTGGCCTGAGGAGCTGGCAGGGTCTGTGCTCCTGGGAAGTTTATGAGACAGCTGGCA